AAACCGTGCAACCGATCCTAATGAATCGTTTGAGGCAGTTTGCTGCGCCATTGAAGAAGTTAATGTATTTTTTTTCGTGGAGAAATGGCACTCCTTGTCGTGAATTTTCGAAGGCAGAATATTGGGTGCGCTCGCTTTACGCGTTTGGAAGTCACGTGGACGTTGAATATTTTTCTGTGAAAACCGTGCAACCGATCCTAATGAATCGTTTGAGGCAGTTTGCTGCGCCATTGAAGAAGTTAATGTATTTTTTTTCGTGGAGAAATGGCACTCCTTGTCGTGAATTTTCGAAGGCAGAATATTGGGTGCGCTCGCTTTACGCGTTTGGAAGTCACGTGGACGTTGAATATTTTTCTGTGAAAACCGTGCAACCGATCCTAATGAATCGTTTGAGGCAGTTTGCTGCGCCATTGAAGAAGTTAATGTATTTTTTTTCGTGGAGAAATGGCACTCCTTGTCGTGAATTTTCGAAGGCAGAATATTGGGTGCGCTCGCTTTACGCGTTTGGAAGTCACGTGGACGTTGAATATTTATCTGTAAAAACCGTGCAACCGATCCTAATGAATCGTTTGAGGCAGTTTGCTGCGCCATTGAAGAAATTAATGTATTTTTTTCGTGGAGAAATGGCGCTCCTTGTCGTGAATTTTCGAAGGCAGAATATTGGGTGCGCACGTTTTACGCGTTTCGATGTCACGTGGACGTTGAATATTTTTCTATGAAAACCGTGCAACCGATTCTTTTGTGTTTTATATTATTATTTTTTATATTCTGTAGCGCTAGTCGAGAAGATAACGAAATTTTGTCGATATCGAACGGATACCTTTTGTTGAGATAAAAATTTAATTTGTTAGAACCGTTGGTTTTCCATTTGGAATTAAAAGTCGAGAGAGAAAGCGATACTGTTTTTATCATAGATCTGTTCGTAGATCGAATACATGTTTCGTGTTAATAACTGCGATTTTGTATAGTACCGATCAAATTCGACGAGTTTCGACTAAGAATCGCCGGAGACACGATCGCGAGTGTAAGCGTTTGCTTTCAGCGCTTATCTCATGTTACAAATAAAGTAGTTTCGTCTATACGGCACGATTAGCATAATTTTATCATGGTAACGTTATACCGTCGCGACGGAAATTTTGCATCGGCTGAAAGAGGCGGATCGAACTTCTTTCCTCCGATCGATCGAAGATATTTATCCTCTCGTCTCCTCTTTGCTTCTCTTCTAAAAACAAAAGTTCCGTTTTCGCTCCATTCCGAGGTTGCCGAGGTTGCAATCGCAGGATGCAAACTTTGCAAAGCGATTCGAACAAATAACGAATGTAGACCAGGAAACAAGCGTCTCTCGTCTGCCCCATTTTTCGATCTAACCAGCCAGGTGAATCCTGCGACAATGTCATCGCCGGGAGGGACGGATCGGTCGAAAGCCAGCGGAAACAAAATGCTTAAACTACCGTTCCACTCGCTCTTGTTTCTCGAACAGAAATCGTCCGATGACCACCGGATCGCGGTTGCATTACGATCGATCCGAGAATATAGGCTCTAGCCTGACCCACATTCCTGTTTTCTTCGAAACCCGATGACCCCGTTGGTCCAAAATCCGTCTGTGCAAGGATTCAAAAAAAAAATGTGCGATCAAAGCGATGCAGAAACGCGATTGCAGTTATTAGTCCTTCACAGTTGCAAGACCTTGACGAAAGGATTAACCGAAGACAGAGCAAGCCGGACGATGCGATGATGCAATCGATGCTCGTGGGTGCCTCAAGGAAACGGCAATCCTACGAAAAAAGCCTCGCAACAGAGTTATTAATCTTCTCGTAACCGACTCGAGAGAACTTCCTCTGTAACTCGCAATTATGCTGATTGCGCGGTGCATAGTTATTCGAAACACGGTGCCGTTCACGGACCAACAGCCTAAGAAAAAGTGATTTACGCGGGCGGAATTGCGGGGTAACGATCGATCCTCTCGGCCTTTCTTCGCCGTTCGAACGTCCTGCTGTTGCGACGATCCCAGCCGTTTGGAAAAATCCACGCAACCATCGTCTTTGTGCTCGTCTTCAAGTGCAACTTAAACGCTCTTTTCGAATGGTTCGTTGACCCCTTGCTTGAAGCGCGTCACACCTTTCTCCACGAAACATTAAAATGTAAGTTAATCGGACGATGCCGATGAAAGCGGCAAACTGGAACGATATAAGTAGACTGCGGATGTTTATGCACATTTCTCGTTGCACAAGCTAGCGCCAACCATAACATCCAGTTACAAATAACAAGCAAACGACCGCTATCTTGCAGATGTTGCCGTGTTAGGAAACGATCGCGGTTTCGGTGAAGAAACTTCGATGGCTTCAGATGGTCGAGCTTCCGCTGCACATTCGATAAAATCGTGTTTCGACGTAGAAGGAACGTCTGTAAAAAAAAAGAAAGAAACTTCGAAAGGCTGAAACAATAAAAGCCGCAATTATTTGTGCGTCGACCCGATAACTTTTCGTCCCCTGCGCATCAACATTGAAGTATCGAAGTCAAAGTCATCGATCCTCGTCCAGGTGACCGTCGCCGCGTGGAACCGGCTTTACGATCCTGGAGAAGGTAGGGAGCACTCGAAGCGACTGCCTTTCCCGTCATCCGTGGATCCCCAGTATTCCTGGTTCCAGTCGGACCGATGGACGGTTCTCTTCTTCCGTGTAGTTTCATCGTCGATTCGGGATCATTAATTCGTAATTAAACCGCGTGCTGGACATCGGTGCTCGGTCTACCTGAACGAAGAAACCTGGACGTGAGTAAAGCGTCGATGAAATCCTTTCTTTAAACCGTTTTCAACAGCGATTCGATCGACCGAAATTGTCCGAATAAATCGACATCGTCGAGGTGTCACGTTTTGCAACGATAACAAAGTTTGCGAATATTTATCTTATTATTATTATTATATTATTATTATTATTATTATTATTATCTTATTATTATTATCTTATTATTATTATCTTATTATTATTTATCTTATTATTATTATTATTTTTATATAATCAAGATGTCGACGAATTGTTGTTACACTTAACACCGTGGCCCGGTTCTAGAAGATCCAATCGAGTTAAGTAGGAAGCGGCAATTAAAATGCTGGCCTGCTCCGATGTCGTTTTTCTTCAGGATTTATTCGCTAATTGCGCGTCACAACGGCACTGCCGTTTTAATAATTGCCCCGTGTTCGTGTTCGTCTATCGCTTCGCTGTTCCTACGAATGATTCCGATCGTCCGCGATTTATCGCTGAAACGCTCTGAAACCGCGGTCACCGCGAGATCATTCGAATTGCAAGATTCGCGAACGATTCCGCGGCACGGCGCCGCCGGAAACATAAATGTTCGTCGAATTTCGGCCAATCGTTGAATTCGTAATGGATTAACGGGTTTTAGAAAGTTCTGCGACCGACTGCGTCGCTCGAGCAACTATTTGTCAAGCGTTTTACGCGAAACGGTGAAATTTTCGTATCTGGAACGTGAACGATCATCGATGATCTCCGCCGGTTAATGATCGAAGATGCTTCATCGAGTCGAGAGAGTTGTTGCTTTTACTTTTTGCAGGATTACGCTTCTCTTTCCTCTCGCGTGCAGATTCCGTCGATTTGGAACAATATTGTCGAATTCGAGGACTTCCGAGGTCCGCGGAGAATTATTCGAAATTCGCAAATTCGATGACGTGGGTGGTCCTGTTTGTGTTTCCTGGCGAATTTACATATCGCTTTCAGCGGTCAACACCGAAACGAACGTTCGGAACGACCGTGAACCCGTGCTGGAACAGTATCCACGCACGTGGGCCGACTTTTAAGCAGACCCACTCTCTCCGGACGACTTTTTCCAGCGTTTTAACGGCTCCGATACTTTTCTCCTCGATGATCCGTTGAATCATGCACACCCGGAGAATCGTGGAACTTTCGAGCGCTACGAACGGGCCTTGCGAATCGCCGGCTAATCGAATCGCTATTACGGCTAACGATCTTGCGAACATTTTCTTTCGTTTCTCCTTACTTCCTACTGTTCGTTCGTTGTTATTTTAACCCCTTAATGCACAGTTTTTTTGAAAAAGGCCGGCCAAGAAAAATCAATTTTTTTCAATGTAAAAAAACACAATTTAGAACGTTGTCCTGGCAAGAAAATTACAAAAATACAAAAATAATCAAAATGTTTATTGCAATTTTGGATTTTGATAACATTGCAGAAAATAGTCGAATATTGTAATATTACACGCACACACACACACACATCGACTTCTTTATCTTTCTTTTCGAATTCCCATTTCAGAATAAACATTATCATCAGTAAAAATATTTATTTATACTTTTAAAACATAAATGATAACAATACTAGTATTTATAATATTTATTATTATATTTATACATATTATTATATATATTTTAGTAAAATATATATTGAAAAATGAGCGAATCAGAATCTGAATATGAATACGCTGTCGGAAAGCTGTTCACAAGGAAGAGATAAGTCGTAAGTGATAAGTAGAAAAAGGATATATTTTATACTTGAATAAGTAAGTGTTATAGCTAAATGTTATAGCTATAGTAAGTGTTATAGCTATAAGTGTTATAGATAAATATCAATAAAACGATTGTTCTTTTTTTGCTTTCACATTGCATTCGAGTGTGAAAAATTATAGCAACATAAAGTACAACGCCGCTCGAATTATCTCGAGTGTGCACAGTTCGGCCAGTTTAGCGCGCTCGAGTTAACTCGAGCGTGCACGTTAAGGGGTTAATCTACGATTCTCGCAGCGCGCCATCCGGCTGCGTTATCATTTTCGTTATAATTTCACGGATGCGCGATGCAACATACGCGCATCGAAACGTCAAAATCGGATACGGATTCTTTTCGAAATTCTGCACATTACAATTCCAAACTGTCGTGTACGAATAACAAAAGCTGCGGTGACAAATTCCTTCTAATGTCTCGATTCATAATTTCCCTTCATCGCTGTAACCGGAAACGCAAACGCCCGATTATTCAAATGCCATGATTTATTTATAATCTCGCGTGAAAGATTCAGAGCGCGGTCGCAACAATGGCACACGGTCTCGGGATTTTTTGTATCCTGGAGAGGAAACGACCCGAATGCACCGGACAAGTCTGCCGGTCTTTTTCTATCGGGAAACGATTGATGGCGTTTCCGTGTTAGTGTAACCGCGTTCACCTTGACCGAAGAAAGTGTTACGCGGACTCTTAGAGCAACGCCTCCCGATTCATGAGCACGCCGTGCCGTGACCGGCACGCGAGCGTTGCGTTTTACGAGCAGTTATTCATTTGGTTCTGTCGTGCACGGTACACTGCATTCCTGCGGATACATTATCATCCTGCCGGCAATCAGGATCGCTGACCGGTACACGCGATAATCACCCACGGACTAAGAACTTGTTTATGCGAATAAAACGTTCCAGCAGGTAATCGTCGATGTAAATCACTTAGTTGCTAATTACAAAACGATGACAGTCTGTAATATAATCGGAGCAAGTTGCATCCGATTCCGATCGACGGTGTCCAGAAAATAGAAATGCATCCCATTTGATTCGTGTAACGACTCGTGTCGATCTGCAACAAATTGCATTGCTTAGTTTGTATTCGATAATAAACTAATAGAGTTAGTTAAAATCGTGTCTATTATATTCGAGGCTTTACTTAACACTAAACCAACCGACCTGTAACCTGTGAACCAGTAAAGTGTGTTCTACGACGATATATCCGTTATGGAGATGTGGCAGAATTTTGTGTCACGACGATTATATCCGTCATTCGTAAAATTTTGTTACAATTTGACACTTAAATTGTAATTCTGGAGAGAACTAAATTATATTCGTACATTTTAACCCTTTGCACTCGAATGGCAACTCTGAGGCGCCACTAAATATTGGTATACCATTTTTCAAAATCATTCTAAGAGCATCAGACTCGTTTATATTTAAAAAAAAAACTATTAAAATTGCACTGTACTTGCCAACAGACTCAATTTCATACGCATTAACTGCAATAAATTATATAAAATAGAAATACTGTAGATCAGAGATCATGTTTTAGATGTCGAATTCAAATAGCTTCGACTGCAAAGGGTTAATATGTTTAACACTAAACCAACCGAGCATTAATGACGATTAGCGTGCATTGACTCGTAAGAGTGAAAAGATAGAATTCGTTTGGATTTGGTAAAGTTTTAATTATGAGACTTGTCTCGATAATATATTGTGTTCGATCATTTCCCACGAAGAAGTCTCCAAAGTTCGTAGTATCGTAAAATAAAAAATCGGTCACTTTGACCGTTCAGCGTTAACGGTATCAACTCAGAAGCTGGCTCGCGTTGGCTGCTCCAATATTTTTTATCGAAAACCATCTAGCCCTAGATCCAGCGCATTCTGATCTCGGTATATCGTAGATGGTTCACGCTTTAAAAGGAAAGGCATGTAGTGAAAAGTGTTCCGGTCGGCCGGAACAATTTGGATCTTGTCCTTGATTAGCAAAGTCGAACGGCTCGAGAGCTTTTACCGAGAGTCTTACCCAAACAACGTGTCGCGTCTCTATGCTAATGATTCGGTAAACATTGTTCGGCGAACGCTTCTGCATGGAGGCTTTCGTTTCCCATCCGGGACCAGCAACGCCGTAAGTGGAACGGTGCGAGAAATGCGTCGAGGCGCAGTCGGCATTGGTTGCTCGAGAGTTGTTCTAATTATAGATATCATTTGCAAAATTACAATTAACGTAACGGCGGCGCGCACGGTTCAGTCTGTTCCAAGCGAAACTCGGCCTCCATCCTGCACGAAAATGCAGGACGTCGGATCCGTCGGACTTTCTAAACCTTCGTTTGCCGGTTCGTTTCCGTGTTCTCCAGGTTGTTCATTCTGAAAAATTCGATGGTTCGTGGATATCAATTTCTCAACCGCTCGAAACCGTGCGAACATTCGCGACGGCTCGATAAATTGCATGCAAGTAAAAGTGTCTCTCGGGTATGACCGTGAGTCTGCCATTGTTTCCAGCAGCATGAGCTCGGGGATAATCCTGCTGGTGTTGGCGATAGGCCTGTCGAACGGTCAGCTGAACTTCGAGGGTAGCCCGCTGACCGAGGACACGGAGTACACCGCCGAAGAGTCGCGATTCTCGGAAAGAACAGCGAGACAGCAGGAAGCCGTAGCGAACGCGACGACGCTGCCGGAGGCGATTTCTCAGAAGCTGTATCCGATCACGGAGGATGTTAAGAACAGCTCGAAGAACCTGGAAGCAAAGTCTTCGGTCAGCGCACACTCGACCGAATCCGTTCCGAGACCTTCGCCGAATCCTCAGCATCCTCTCATCACGGTTCAGCCCACGGTGGTGCACACGCCTCGTCAACTATCTCCTAGTGTCTATAATCCTGGTAGCATCACCGCAAGCCCTGCGGATTATTCCGTGAACGTGCCCGAGCTGGGACAACCATCGAGTCCTCAGCATCTCATCACGGTGCAGCCTGAGGTGGTGCAAACGTCTCGTCAGCTATCGGCAACCGCCTACAATCGAGGAAACGAAGTGACAAGCCATGCAGAGGTTGCTCTGAATTCGTTTCTGAACTCGAAGACGCCGGAAGAGTCTCGACTGTCCTTGGACAGCTACCTGCAGAGCCAGGCGAGTGTCGCGAAAGACCAATCGGGCCAGCAAACGGTGCCTCTGTCCAATCAAGCGCAATTAGTGCGACAGACGCCATCGATCGCGGTTAATCAACCGTCTACGGGGCTGACTTCCCCTGTGAATCAACACCTGACGGCGCAGCTTATGCAACAACGGCAGGCGATGTACGCTTTCCCCGTTAACCAGAGGCAGCCTTTCAACGAGCAGCTCTACAACGTGCCTGCGAACCAGCAAGATCCGCGTGCACCTGTTCCGGCGGCCGCGATTGCTACAGGCATGCCGCAGCAGACACTGCAGTCGCCTTACGCGCAGAATGTACAAGCCAGGAACGATATTTTCTATCCGCCCGGATGGCATCAGCGTATGAGAAGAATTCGTGGGAGACCGTTCCCGTACGTGCAGTCCAGAGGCGGGCCCGGATTCTACAATGCACCTGTCCCAGGTGAGATTCCAGTCGAAAGTCGCATCTTCCATAGACAGTAGAGAATCCGTGGTTTCGCAACATGATTCAGTGAATCTCCTGCCGGCGCTAACGATCGTGTGAAAGCGTTATATAAGCATGATATAATGATCTCCGCGCGGATCTGGTACGATTTATTTGTCCTGGAACTACTGACGCGGTTCGTGGGACCTCGTGCTCCAACGAAAAGGACCCCAAAGGTTCGAAGGTATCCTCGATTTCAGCGGTTCCAGGACAACCAGCGATATTATTAACCTTTTAGGCACGACGCGCCACTGTAGTGGCTTCCGCGGATGTCATCTTTCAGAACGACACGCCACTATAGTGGCTTACTCTAGTAACTCACTCGCTCATCGTTCGAATCAAATAATCGTCTTCATATACATTGTTTCACACTTCTTTTGTCTTCACATCGATTTACAACAGTCCACAGGGTGTCCCAAAAATGTCTCGCAATCCGGAAATGGCGGGTTCCTCGGATCATTTGAAGCAACTTCTTCCTTTACAAAAATGTTCTCCGAGGCACCGTTAACGAGTTATTAACGAAAAACAGTGACCAATAAGAATCGAGTACGGCTGACGCGAGGCGGCCCAGCCAACCAGCGCGCGAAGCCCAGTTCCGCTCATTGGCTCGGCCGCCTCGCGCCAGCTGAACTGGGATTCGACCGCCTCGACCGCTGGCGCCGTTGGTTCGGCCGCCTCGCGCCAGCTGAGCTGGGACTCGACCGCTCGACCGCTGGCGCCGTTAGCTCGGCCACCTCGCGCCAGCTGATCTCGCCTCTCATTGGTCACTGTTTTTCGTTAATAACTCGTTAACGGTGCCTCGGAGAAGATTTTTGTAAAGGAAGAATTTGCTTCAAATGGCCCGAGGAATCCGCCACTTGCGGATTGCGAGACATTTTTGGGACACTCTGTACATACAGTATCAGCCTCTGTACAGTACACATATCAGACTCTGCCGTCCAGAGAAATAGCCTCGCGCAGAATTCAGCCGTACCTAAAAGGTTAAGAATTACTTGATTTTTTCCTTCAGGTCCTTACAAGCCAAAGTCTCCGCCGGTGGAGGTGATCTATACGAAGCCTCCGGGCTACAACCATGGTCCCCCGGTCCTGAGTAACCCCCCGGTACCCTACGAAGACGCCAGCAACTGGTTTCCCGAAGCGGACCATCCTCCGCCTGCCAAAGACGTCTACTATTCCCAGCTTTACGCGCAGTCCTACGATCCTTACTATTACAATTACATCGCCAAGACCGGCAAGATCAAGCCCCACCTCTACGGGAAGCTGGGCAAATATGAAGACGGCGGCGACGGGATCTGGGCCGAGCTGTACAGAGGCTTCAAGAAGCACGGCTTGAAGAACATCATGACGCCGACGTTTCTGCTGGGCATGACTCTTCCGGTGGTCACGCTGATGCTCACGGCGCTCGTCCAGAAGAGATCCTTCTCCTCCAGGTCGGACTCCAGGGAGTTCTCCAACGAGGAGACGATCCAGGAGTACCTGAACCAGCTGCGGGACGCCGTCGAGTGTTACGAAATGAAGAGAAAGAGGAGGGACACCAGCTACGAAGGCTGCTGAAGCACAGAACGTCGTTATCCTGGAAGTTCGCGCAGTTACAGTCGTCCATTTCGAGCGATCGTCTTTGCCTCGATAATGGACACTTCTTCGTAACATTCATGAAGTACGGATGCTCCGGATTTCAAGGAAATCTTGTCGGAGAACATTGTCGATGTCCTCCCGACTCGGAGTAGACCAGGTGAAAATGCTGCTGTAATCGAAATTGGACGACTTGGAACGCGGTGGCTTGTAAGGCGACCCTACAGTTTCACTAATTTATGGGACAAAGGACTCTTTCTAGGAGTGCGAACGATCAGAGCGTTCGAAATGGTCGAGAGAAGTTTGAGACGCGCCTGGAGAGTCTGTCGAGCATGCGTGAGTGGAGATTGCTCTCGGAGGTTGTCTCTGAGGGTATTGTGCACAAATAGAGCAACAGAATTGCTCTCTTTCTCTCTCTCTCGTCCAACACGATTTGCTCCCCGGTTAGGTGTTTTGTATATATCGCGTGTAAAATAACGGTGTCGCGTACTCGCGAGTCTCCAGGGAGCCGATAGTGCTATTTCATTAGACGGATGCACCGCATGTATGCGACAAATGAATCGTTAGACCATTCATGGGAGAAGGCGAGAGTGAATCGTTTCTACGTGAGAAGCGAACGTTCGTGGGTCAATTATCCCTGACCCTGTTCACATCCACGTGCCGTCGCGTCAATCCTCCTAAACACTGGCTTCGTCGCAAGCTTCAATTCCTTTCAATTCTCGGCTCTATCGGCGTTTCCTCGTTCGTTCACGGTACTTTTACTTTTCTGCCAGGTTAATTGAGCCGGCTCGACCAACGACAACGGTATCGTATTTGTTCTTGGGACTTTTCAAAATGTGTGACACGAACGAGAGTTCTTAATGATTCCATTTTTCTTTCGATATCTCATCGTATTTTGAATACTTCGTCGGAAAGAGTATGATTCACCCAGACGACTCCGACCAGAGATCACCGACCCAGATTCACGCGTTTTGCGCGACGAGCCCTGAATTCCAAATTAGAAATGACATCCGCGATTCACCGCACCGTTCGCAGCCCGTGCGCATCGTGAATCGTGACACAGAAATGGATAACCGGTTTAGGCGTGCACCGTCAGTGATTTCAGCCATCGGTTTAGTTAATGATTACGCGACCTGCTTGGGAAACTGGTCCAGATGACTTAATTTTCTTGCTTGTTATTTTTTTATGTCGTCTCTCACGCTCGAGATCGGTCGAAAGGCTTTCCTTACAGTTTTCGTTTTGCGTAAGTCTGATTTTAAGGGGGAACTAATCCCTTTCCAGGCTGAATTGTAGGCATGCAAAAAGCTCGCCGGTCAGGGGAATACGGAAATTCGGATTGTTCCGAATGATCCTGGTGGGGTGACGCAACATTCAAGAGCACGATGTTGATTAGTGCTGCGGCGATAAGGTCAATTACGATAACCTGACCATTAATGAGCCTATCGTGAATCAAGCGTGACGGTTAACGTGCGATCAGCTCGCCGAGCTTTTAAACTAGAACGAGCAACCAGAAATTGAAAGATCTAGGGTGAGATTTTTCGTGGTCGTCGTAACTCTATCCTCTGTCCGCTGAGAACGCCGATCTATCTATGGTTTTATTTATCGATCCTTCGCGGATTCTTTCAAGCTTCGGGAAAATCGCGGCAGCGTTTCTTAGGGGAAAGAACCGGTTCCTCGAGACGACTTGCACTTTAGACGCCGCGTCGGAAGTTCGCGAGATTCTCCTTTCATCCGTGTCTGAAACAGTGCTCTTTTTAGCCTCGATCTAAAAAGGATCCGATCGTAACGAGCAGAACGAGCCAAGCCGAGGTAAATCAGTGTTAGAAACTCGAAATTTCCCAGGAATCGCAAGGAGCGAAAAAAGTGGAAAAAAATCTACGGACCGAATGGAAATATCAATTCACTCGCTCGCGAACCCCGGCGAACAGATTATAATTGAATTATCCGATCGAACGATTGACGGCTTCATTCGCGCGCCATGGGACCCAGACGCGGTGTATGCTTCGCCCGTAACAAGCGGCGATTATTAGTTTCAACTCAGCCCCTTCGGGGTCGTTCAAATGTCTAAGGTCACCGTGATATTCGGGCCACTGGCTCTGACGAAGGAACCGATTACTCGAAATATTAATTCGCAATTATACACTTCACAAGTTAGAGCGAACTTGTATGTTCTCCTCGACAGCAACTTATACGTTTTTCACAATAAATGCATTCGTTTTACCGAGCTTCAGCGTGCGACAAACCCAGGCTGCTCCGGAAGAGGCACTGAAAATCGAACAACCAGTTAACGAAAAATATATGTCGTGTATTTCGTTGCTTCTAGTTTCTACAAATACAACTTATTGTTGCGATTGCCAAAAAGTGGGGCGGGGTGTCGAGAAATCAAGCGCGTCGCACATTTATTACTCGGCATCGTCTGTCGCTTATTTCAGCTCGTCATCGAGTTCAAAGGAAACGATCGTTCGTTCGAACGGAGCAACGAGTTGGTCTCCTTTTCGGTCATCATTCTCGACAAAATCTGGGACTTTCTCAGCGCGAAACAATTAACGCTTTCGGGAAAGGACATTTCGAAGGGACTCGATTTGCTGACCATCTGAAAAGAGGGAGAACCGAATGCGATGGAAATCAGTGTCAGCTTGCCGATAGAACGTTTGAACAATTTTTTGTTTGTCCGTTCCCTTAATACGAAGCTTTACAAAAAATTGCGAGGAACATTGTTCTACAACGCTGGAAGCATCGAACGCTTTAAAAGGACTGAGAATAATTGCGCGGAAACGTTTCAAATTGGTCGCTCTTGCCGGTTCGATGCTTCCAGTGCTGGCATACCGCGTTTCTTTTCGCCAAAAATAATCGAACTTCGCTCGTTCATGATCCTCGCGTGCTGCGAGGATCCAGCAATGATTTGTGCGTCGCTCAGCTAGACTAGACTAGTCTATACAGATTCGTTTCGAATGATTAACAGAACAATTTCGAGTCTCTTCGCGTGTGTCTTCTCCGCTGATATGTGCGTGTCGTTTAACAATTCTGGTTCGCCTCGGCCGGTTTTGCTTTCCGAGGATCTTTTTGGTGAACATCGGAAAGATCGGGGGAGAAAGACCTTGGCACAGCCTGTGGCTTCCATAGAGGAGGTGAAGGAGCTGAGAATCAAATGAACGAACGACACAGTTTACTAAAATAAATTCTAATTTGCTCCATAAAAGTCACAGGTACTTTACGGACAAGACTCCTACGCGATCATTTCACGATAGACGTACCTACACAGGATCAGCCACTCGGCGGAGAACACGTGGCTATCTTCGTTCAGGGTCATTTAGGTTTGTACGGAAGGAAGGACAAAGTTGGATCTTGAAGGAGATTATAGATCTGAAGAAGTAAGAATAAAAATTAATTGGATCGAACGGAAATATCGCCGCGTTATTACAAGACAGAGTTTTCTCGAGGATGCCTAACTTCGCTCTGAGAAGCTCTTACGCGGAACTATAGTTCGCAAGAGAGAGACATTTAAATGTTTAAGTGGCTCACCATGTACATATATACATGTACATAATATGTATAACATACGTATTGCTTCGAACTGGCAATACTCTACATATGTATAAGTAACTGCTTTTATAATTGTCCTTCGCTATTCGTGGAGAGTTACTAGATTCACAGTGTCCCATCCCTATTATCGAGGACCAACGATTTCTCCAAGATTGATTCGATCCGTAGGTACCGAGTGAAAACTGTGCTTCAAAAGATCTGTTCCGTCATCGCTGATCCAGCGAAGTCGGAGCAAGAGCAAACTAATTTGATCGATTGCGGCAAAACTGTCCCCACCTGAGACTCTACTGCTCCGTGTCTCTGTCTTTAATTGACAGTGGTGCGATAGATACGCGTAAGTACAGCTTAAGCAGGATTCATTGTTCGAGACCTGATAATGATTTTTTGGAAATAAACTGAAGGACACAGTTCGAACTCGGCAACCTCGAAGAAGGTCAGCCATTGATTCCCTCGTTTCTCCCCGACTCGCTAAAGTTAACGCAAATCACGGACTAGTTCTGCAAGCGGTTGACGATTTGATTTTGCTTGTATGGCGGTCAGTCTTCGTCTCAGCGGACATCTGGATCGCTTCTGTGTGCATCTATCTGTCGGCAGCTGGATAGGCTGTGTGCGTATTCAATGTCTTGTACAATATTACAGTTTCGTGTGTGCGTCCAGATACTTGCGTTCCACTGCTTCCTCCACTGTTCCGTTCCGACAAAGAAAGCTTTTGTGGCTGACCGTTCGCAGTTCTACATCGTCCACGCCGACACGTGTTTCGTGACCGCTGGCAGACGGTGGAAACTGTCTTGTAGGACTAGATCAGGTTTAATGTACAAAGCGGTATTTGGCGAAGAACGCTCAAAACGATGGATCTTGGATCACGCGCAGATAGTTGAACACTGATGAGATCACGAATCGTTCAGCTCTTGTATCTGCGATTACAGTTTCCCGAACAATAAAAACAAATAGACGGTAACTGGCATTTAGCATGATCATCGTCGTCGATAGCGTAATCAAATTATAAATCGGCATAGATAAAAACGGGATGTCGAAATCGATGAACGCAACGATTAATTCTATAACAAAAGTAAAAGTTCAACTAAGAGTTGCCTATACATGCATGTATAGCGGACGCTCGATCAGCAGCTATATTTAAGGACTTCTGGAACGCGGCTACTTATACAATGGTTTCTTGAAATTTATTCACAAAATTATCCGTTTGAAATATGTGCTAAAACATTTCAATAAAACAGAAAGCGCGCGTGTTAGCGGGAGGCTACTTATCGAGCGCCTACTGGTATATACATAAATATCCGAACATTCTTTTAAATATAATACTCTTGAACGTAAATCATAAGAGATAAATATACATAAAAATCCGCGATACATCTAAGACCGTTCTTTAGTTTCATCTGGTGTGCTAGCCGTACGATTACAATGATAATATTCTTCGATAGGAAGAAATGTCGAAAAACAAATGTCATAAAGAAAAAAAGAAAAATATGTATATCGTAGCTATCTGTCGCTGCCTCCTATCCCCCTATCAATCTTGCTATCTGGCTTTAGAACATAGCTAAACGAAAGTGTGTGTAATACTTACGTTAGCGAAGTCAATCTACATTGTTTCTTTGTTTCTTAACCAACGTGAGAATCTGAACACTCCAAGGCTAAATTACATCCTATGTACACCATCTTCAGTCGAATTTCTCCTCTTTGAACGCTAGATTGATAGCTTCGCCAACGTCTTTCACTACGAACGCTGGTTTACATAAGCTGTCGTCGACTGGTAAGAAATCTCTGGGACAGTGATCTGCTACGTAGCTGGAATCTCGTCGATGGACCCCAGTTTCAACTAAAATACTGATACAAGCTTTCGCGCTGGGCAGCTCTACATCCCTACCAAGCAGTTTCTGAAGTTTCTGAGGCGCGAGGGTATCCTTCATTCCGCAACGGGACAGATACTTATCATACAAATTTGCACCAAAAATGTCAGTGTTGATGTTGTCACTGGAAAAAAAATATGTGTAGTTTAGTGTCAGCTGGAACTTCCATCTTAGTCGGTTGTTGTTAAATAAATGATTTACCCAATAGCATATATCGTGTCAACGTTATGACTTATTCCAATACTTTCAGCATGCTCCCGGAGCATATGATTCGCGTGATAGTAGGTAACTTGGGAAGGCTTCCCGACTAGAGCAGAATATACCATGTCCTTTCCTGTGATCTTCTTGTAAAGCGATTCCAGACATAATAAGAAGGCACCGTGCCCGTATCTGGGAATCAACGCTTCGGATACCCACAACAGGTCCATGTTACATGCCAAAACTGGAATGTTAGGATAAGGAATTTCATCCGGCAAGGAAGTAGGCATGCCATTAGTCAACAGCAAATCCACCATCAATTGTAACGGAGTTTCCCAAGAAATTGGCTCGCTGAACAACACAATACCCTCGATGGTAGGAAAGTTTGGATCTACAGGACCGCATAATGGATTTCTCTTTTCCATGTTCACATAGTCCAGCGATGGAAAATTTTTTACTAATTCTTCGATAGTTATGGTATTATGGAAGCCCAACTCTTGGGCTATTTCTCTAATTGGACCTTGACCAGATATTAAGACACGTTTATTGTGATACTGCTGGAACAATCTCAACGGCGAGTGTGCCATCACCACTTGTGACTCCTTTACTTCGAACCCTATCCATTTGGATAGGTCTTCTGCCTTCTGGCTACGCAAGGCATTTCCACTGTTGGTGACAAATACGGTTGGTACACAGAACTTTCCATCTTTTCCTTGGAGTCGTTTGAAGGCCTCTGGTACAGGTGGCAATACATTCTTACCACGTACTATCACACCATCTATATCGAATAGTAAACCAAACTTTGGCTTCAAACTTAAATGCTGAAAATAAAAAGAAGAGGATGTTAGCAAAATTTTGTGAAATTTGTTATTTTTATGAACCCTAACAAAGTTGTACACATTTACTTGTAAAAGTGACTGATATTCTTTGGAGTTGTGCGGCTACTTCATATTTTTGGAACAAGACATTAAAAATGTCTCACAGACCTTGAGACAGGATATAAAAATATACTTGACTCGGATACTATGCAGTATATTTTTATACCAGTACCTATTGTAATGTGACAGAAACTTTGCATCATTGGTTTTTCGGCGCATAATCGAATAATTTGAAGTCGAATTAAAATCACAAATTACGCTGTCACAGCATCGACAGTAAATTTGAATTTTTAATCAACTATATTCCGAACAGGCTCCGAAAAAAACATGAATAAAAACTTCCTAAGGTCTCTATCAAACAACGAAATTGCGTTTTATAGATCAAACATGATACGAACATTATTACTCTTGATCTCGTTCGATTTTTTGATGTTTTCGTAGCGAATCCTTGTAAATAGGTCACAACAACAGATTCAAGTCATAAACAAAAGAAGGCATGCATGACGGATCCACCTTAAAGTGCAGAAGCCAGAATCAAACATAACAATGATGGCACACGAAATATGACTCACTCTGACAACTGTAAACCTCGCGATGTCTGGTCGTAGCAGTATCTTCATAATTGCCATTTCGTCAGTAATAAAAAACGAACGAAGGCCCGACTACGATATCTTAATACTATTGGCTCCGTTCAAAAGCTACTTCTCACAGATTGATTATGCATAATGCGATGTTTTGAGGTTATAGTGACCTACAGAAATTACATATGATAGTTATTTTTCCCACGTGCCGTAAGAGGACACAGTGCTCAGTAAACGATACGACTGACGTTGCGCTGTCACATGTGCGATACATAGGTACGTGACACTTTTTTTGGAATTTATCGTCAGGAAGGAGTTGTACAATCGAAAAGATAGTTATCAAGATAAATATCATTAACCCTTTGCCATGTCATTTTCTTTCCAGTTATGATGATTAGAAATGTTTCGATTATAATAATTTCTTAAAAAAAGAAAAAATATGTATTTATTGTATGCCAACATTTCCCCTTGAATACTTAAATATTACGGTGAGAAGAACAGAATTTTATTCCAACTTAAAAGAACGGAACAACATTTATACTTAACAGATTCTTACTAGAAATCTCCATCACGAGTTAGACTCGTTAACGGACTAGACTAGTCACGTGATTTTACGGATTCAGCAGGACGGTATCTTCTGTACAGATTTCATTACATAAATGGTATTATCTAGAGATGTATAGCTGCTTGATAAATACGAGATGGAGCCACCGGCGTTTTCTATTAGGAATTTAAAAGGTCTGTAATACTATACTTGCGGACGCATGCGCACTAACTTCAGTCTCTTTCCACCAATCAGGTGCTCTCTATGCACCACCTTTATTTGAACACACTTCATCGCCAGCTTCGGGAAGTTTGATGGACTTCTTCAATCAGTGTGAAAATTAATGAGAAAAATTTGTATTTCTCACCGATTAAACGAGTAACGAAGTAACGGAGAATTGAAAAGAAAGGAGTAAGCTGTTACAAATTAGGTATGTCCCGTGTAGATATATATTCTAACGTAGATATCACATTCATATTTACAAATAACATGAGTAACAAATATTTGAAGTATGTACAAAATAATTTTAGTGTATCATAAGATACACACGTGAAGTAAAAGCTTTGTGCCGANTTCTTTGGAGTTGTGCGGCTACTTCATATTTTTGGAACAAGACATTAAAAATGTCTCACAGACCTTGAGACAGGATATAAAAATATACTTGACTCGGATACTATGCAGTATATTTTTATACCAGTACCTATTGTAATGTGACAGAAACTTTGCATCATTGGTTTTTCGGCGCATAATCGAATAATTTGAAGTCGAATTAAAATCACAAATTACGCTGTCACAGCATCGACAGTAAATTTGAATTTTTAATCAACTATATTCCGAACAGGCTCCGAAAAAAACATGAATAAAAACTTCCTAAGGTCTCTATCAAACAACGAAATTGCGTTTTATAGATCAAACATGATACGAACATTATTACTCTTGATCTCGTTCGATTTTTTGATGTTTTCGTAGCGAATCCTTGTAAATAGGTCACAACAACAGATTCAAGTCATAAACAAAAGAAGGCATGCATGACGGATCCACCTTAAAGTGCAGAAGCCAGAATCAAACATAACAATGATGGCACACGAAATATGACTCACTCTGACAACTGTAAACCTCGCGATGTCTGGTCGTAGCAGTATCTTCATAATTGCCATTTCGTCAGTAATAAAAAACGAACGAAGGCCCGACTACGATATCTTAATACTATTGGCTCCGTTCAAAAGCTACTTCTCACAGATTGATTATGCATAATGCGATGTTTTGAGGTTATAGTGACCTACAGAAATTACATATGATAGTTATTTTTCCCACGTGCCGTAAGAGGACACAGTGCTCAGTAAACGATACGACTGACGTTGCGCTGTCACATGTGCGATACATAGGTACGTGACACTTTTTTTGGAATTTATCGTCAGGAAGGAGTTGTACAATCGAAAAGATAGTTATCAAGATAAATATCATTAACCCTTTGCCATGTCATTTTCTTTCCAGTTATGATGATTAGAAATGTTTCGATTATAATAATTTCTTAAAAAAAGAAAAAATATGTATTTATTGTATGCCAACATTTCCCCTTGAATACTTAAATATTACGGTGAGAAGAACAGAATTTTATTCCAACTTAAAAGAACGGAACAACATTTATACTTAACAGATTCTTACTAGAAATCTCCATCACGAGTTAGACTCGTTAACGGACTAGACTAGTCACGTGATTTTACGGATTCAGCAGGACGGTATCTTCTGTACAGATTTCATTACATAAATGGTATTATCTAGAGATGTATAGCTGCTTGATAAATACGAGATGGAGCCACCGGCGTTTTCTATTAGGAATTTAAAAGGTCTGTAATACTATACTTGCGGACGCATGCGCACTAACTTCAGTCTCTTTCCACCAATCAGGTGCTCTCTATGCACCACCTTTATTTGAACACACTTCATCGCCAGCTTCGGGAAGTTTGATGGACTTCTTCAATCAGTGTGAAAATTAATGAGAAAAATTTGTATTTCTCACCGATTAAACGAGTAACGAAGTAACGGAGAATTGAAAAGAAAGGAGTAAGCTGTTACAAATTAGGTATGTCCCGTGTAGATATATATTCTAACGTAGATATCACATTCATATTTACAAATAACATGAGTAACAAATATTTGAAGTATGTACAAAATAATTTTAGTGTATCATAAGATACACACGTGAAGTAAAAGCTTTGTGCCGATTCCATGTCCATCGAAATCGGTTCTATCTTCCATTTTTAATAAAAGCTTTTCGTATACAATAAATAATACCAAACCGAAGTATAGTGTATTTACATTATTTTTTTCAATTCGAAATCACAGCTTCCGCTAAAACGTACGATGAAAAGATAAACGATTATATTTTCATAAGAAGTTCAAAACAGGTGTCGAATGTGCGCAATGAGGGCGGTATATCCTCTATTAATCCAATTATGCATAAAGCGTGCGATATATGCTTCTTTTTCTTTAATTCTCGTATAAGGAACTCCGCATTTTCCCTTGTATTTGTTAACGATTGATTAACGAGTACGTGCTCAATAATTCGTCCATATACTTCGTGATTTGGATCAAAAGAAATTGTCAAATTTTTCAAAAATAACGTCTCCAATATAGGCGGCGATAATGTAATTTCCTAAAAAAAAACAAAATGTAGATCGTATAAGTAAATGTAGTACTATTATAATACTTAAAAACATTTTATTTTAGTATAAACCTACTTTATGCTTTTCTTTGAGGATATTCACAGCTTCTTCATGAAGCTCTGGATCATCCATGTCTAATCTGATATAAACTGCATGACCCAGAGGAATTTCTGCCTTGTTCAAGAACTCTTTAAGCGTCTAAAAGTATTATTAACATGTAGCTTTTTTTTCCTCCAACTTACAAGACATTATTTATTAATACTTACGTCTAGCGAAGATAAGGCTGCCATTAAATCTTTGTATTCTTGGAAAATCTGTTTCTGTTTACTTGCATCTGTCTCGGTTTCGTACACGTTAATTAGTTTCATCATTTTGTAAATGGGATGTTTGTCGACCGCCGTGTACTCAGGATTGCTAAATTTTGGCCATTTTAACACTATTCCTTTCATCTCATTAAAATGATCCTTGCTTTGTATTTTATCATACACGTTTTCAAACGCTTTGAAACGGTCCTCTTCTGTCGCACAATCGCCAATTTCTTTTGTAAACGAAATATCATCCTCTATACATGGTTTTTGCTTTGGAATGTTTTGCTTTTTGTTCACAGTTTCTACTACCTCCTCGTCAGAAAAATTACCCCAATCATCTGTCCATTCCATGTCACCCTTGTCGTCATCCTTATAATCTTTTTTTATTTCACCATCAAGCTGAGAAATAGACTTCTCAGCCGATTTCTTTTGCTCTTTAAATTCCTCACATACAGGACTCTGAATGAGATCATTGTCATGTTCCACCCTCTCCTCATGATCCTCTCTATCGTTCTCTTCAATTATTTGATTTGAATCAAAGAACTTGATGTCATCCGTCTCTTGATTATTCAGGAAACGCGACTGCCAATACTTAAAGCTCTCGTACATCTCAGATTCTTTGCACTTTTTCATTGCGTTGATCATCTTTTGTATTAAACTCAATGGACTAAATAAATATAAATTCTCAGTATCCCCATATAATTTCTTATGCAACTCCAAGGAGTAATAATACATCGCAGTCTGTACATGCAGCTCTGTTTGCGGTAGCTCGGTTAGAACATCTTGTATTTCCTTTACATAATTTTTCTGTATACTAAATAAATAAGCAATTCCCAGTAGCCAGTCTTCCCGCAATGTATGCTTTGCACATTCTAAAAATACTGTAACAGGAAATCATAATTTTTTAAATATTTAATTTATATTCATGACACTTAATGCCTTAGGCAATACATACAATGATTGATATCGCTCACTTCCATGCCATAGCAAGAAGATTCGCTCAACATGGCTATTCTGAGAAAAGCGCGGCAACATTTCAGCTTTGTAATCTCTACATCCGGCATCGAATAGTTTATATATTTGGTGTCCAAGTTACTAAGTCTACTTCTTTCGTGCAAACACTCGTAGAAACATGGAAAACTTTGGACATCATCATTGTTTTCGTGATTCTCCTGATCATTGTACTCTGTCACGTTGCTATGACTACTCTCCAAACCTAGTTTCAATCTAGATTTCCAAAAACTGGTGTCGCTTATGTTCCTTATTAAACTGACCGTTGATGCTTTCATAATGTTCGCAGAAGTCTTGACCATTTCCGTAGAGGCCTCCAGCACTTTTGGAACAAACTCTTTTGATTCAACTTGAGGCTGTAAATTCAAGGCTATGAAATATCATACTTTATGCAGGATGTTCCGTTTAAAGATTTACACCCCGTATTCATATTACACTTTTTGTATTGAATTTCTTACAGTAGTCATGGCATCTATGAACTCTTCTTCGCTATCAGCATCATCAGGATCATCAGGATCACTTGGTGGTATCCACAGCTCCAAATCTTTATGTAACATTTGTATCTCTATTAAATGTATCTGATCCAGCGCTTTACTTAGCACATCGTTAGGCCCCTTATTTATCACAAACCATAGACACTTTTGTCTAGTCTTTAAATCACTGTAGTCATCACAATATCCTAAGTCTAAGGCGACTTTCCAGGCGGGAATGTAACTGTTATGTATCAATTGTTGGCACGTAGCAGCACAAACAGTAAAGTCTTTTATCTGTGAAGTTTTATCAGATGAGAATAATATAATTTTATTAGAATTATAATCAATAAATCTGTACCTCCAATGCTTTCTTCGCTATCAATTCTAAAACCTTCCCCTCTCTTGCTCTGCTATTATTCATTTCAATCCTCAGATAAGTCGCTAGAGTCAACAGTCTGTGGCGACTTTTATGAGCATCATCACGTCTATTCAAGCAGTCTTCTATCAGCTTCAATCTGTCTTGCATCAATCTGACTTGAAGCGGTAGTATATTGATGTTAAATTCGTTTAAAATCTGAAGAGAATTTATCAGATCGTATTCTTCCTTGATCTGCGGATTGTCGTCCGTAATCAGATGGAGGCAAGTTCTGGAATGATAATTGTTTGTTAATTTAGAGGAAAGATACATATAAAAAAATACAACTACCCACCTAGCAAGTTCCATGTTGGCATCGGTTAAAGAATTTGAACTGTTGAAATACTCTTTGCTGGCATCGAGAATCAAGTTGACTGCTTTTTCGTAGGACACTTTCAACAGAGACTGCTCATTCTTTTTAGTTTCAATTAGAGCTGCACAACTTTGTATGTTGGACTTAACACCTGACACCAGTCGCGCCGATACACAGATCTCAAAGCATATTTCTATGTCCACACAGGCGAAGATCATACCGTGAATTTCCAGCATATCGTTCAGCAATTGTGCCCACTGTTTTTCATCAGGGGCTATCACCCTAAGAAGAAAGAAAAATTATGAACACACTGAGCACGAGATAAACTTCTTTATATTACGAAAATCATTGTTCCCTTACGTTCCGTTCAAGCTCCTCGCCATTTGAATCAATAATAGTTTTGCAGACTCGGGATCGGTTTTGTTTTTCCTCAATGCATTCAGCGTGGTCGTAACCCCGTATTTATTCAAAATTTTTGTACACTCGAGTTCTCTGTCCAACTCTTCGAGCAGCGAATTTATTCCACCACTTCTCTTCAGGTCTCTATCTTTTGAGATGGAATCCACTATGCAGATAGCTTTGTCATACATATTTGAATCGTTGCAGGCATATATGCAGTCTAAAGCCAAGGTGGCAATATTCTCTATCATTTGCAGAATCTCATTATCTTGGGATATCTTCAAATACTCAAAGAGTTTCACAGATAATTTTAGATCCTCCTTGCTAATGCATATCAAGTAATCGCTAAACAAATGTGTCTGCAGTTCATCCTTAATAATTAAAAAGTTAATAATAATTAATTTAAATTCGATTCTGACCATTTTACAATAATACTTACCAAATATTGATGTCTCCTTTTTATAAATGGAAGTACAAAATTTTTTAAATCGTCGACAAAACTTTTCTCGGTCGTCGTGCTCATCAGCAATTTAATTTTGTCTAAATTAGACAATTTTTGTAGCTCGTCCAAAGACAGATCTTCTATGTAAACTTTGTAAATTAGGTCATCTAATGTTTCTAGGTCTAACAATAAACTTTCTAAGCCATTAATGTTATGCGATTTCGCTATTTTGATTAATTGCAAAGCGTTGTCGACCATGTAACTGTTCCTCTCAATCTGATAGGCTCTCGACTCATACCATTTTTGTAACAATTCCGGAGTTAGCAAGGTATTTCTTAAACAAGAATGTTATAGGTGTAAAAAATAGTGGAAACACAAAATTTTTATAGTTTAATTTACCTGTATATGGATAAGGAAGGATCAGATTCATAAAGTAGTTCCGACTTATTATCGTTTTCAAAATTAATCACATCGTTGAATTCAGTCTTTTCGGACCAATCCTTTTGCCTTAATTCTCGTTGATCAAGTAGAAATAATTGACAATCGATGTCACATTTCGGCAAAAGCTTCTTGTACTTCAATGGGTTCAACGTTTCCGGGAAGAAACTGATAATTGCTAGCCAATGGGGCAGCAAACTCTCTCCATAATAGGTGAACATAATCTCGACTCCCTGACAATCACCATCTTTGGCGAATCTGCGTTTAACGAAGTAACATAACAATAGACGTATAAATGTATTGTATGACGTATTTACTGTACTCTAAATGATCTGCATGATTTTGTTGGTACCTAATTGCATTTTCGAGAGCCGAAAGCTGACGAAATTCCTCGTAGAAACTTTTATTGTAATTTAACGAAGGTCCTAAAATAATCTCATAGGTGAGCAGTTTGTCCAAATGGTCCAGAAGCTTTCTTCTATACTTAATTAAGTCTATCTGAGCATCAGACAAATGACTCGGGTCGACTTTATCTAGCAATTCATTTGCTTTCTGCATCTAAATGTTTGCAAATCTCTGTAAATATTATGCAGTACACCTGGCTAGATTTGTAGCTTACCTGTCGTAAACTTTCACTAACTACATCTACGTCATTCCAATCTTCGTCCACATTCTCTGTTACAAATTTCCCATTATCACATGTGCCTATCGCTACCAGGGTTTCTAAATTGGCACCCTTCAGTCCAAAATTTAGTAATTCTCTTGCAGCTTCGATAGTGTCAGGAACTCTTGTTACACATTCATGTAGGACCCAAGATCTTTTAGTAACTTTGCTCAAATGTTCTTGAATAGCGTTCAAAGATAATTTCGATTTCCGCCATTGTGTCTGATAAACCAGATCAGTATCCAAATTGTACTTGTTAGCCAATGCCAAAGCTTCTTCGTACTCCTGTAAGAAATTACAAAATATTTTAATATTTGCTTTACAAGTGTTTATTCGAATATTCATACTTCTATATCAATTTTCCTGGAGTACAGTTCTTCAGGCGTTGTACTTTTCAGACCAAGAATTCTGTATGTTCTAAATAATACTTTAGACTTCTTTCTCTTGGGCTGAAATCTTTCGATATCTGTTATAGAGTACAAGGTACTTTGCATTAAATTCGTGGTGTAATTCAATATGCTGACTGGCTCCAACTCATCATCTTCATCCTCGCTTTCCGACGAGACTTCTAAAGACATAAACGAATCTTTCATTGAACGTGTAACAATTCAATGATTATTCATTTCTTCATTCGATACTTGACCTTCAACATTGGACTCCCTATTTCGCTTTTTACTGGTTACAAACGTTTCACAGTCTAGACACAAAAAGCCACGATCTGAACCAAGTTCGCATATCTGAGGCTGTCCAGCTAGAAACTCTGGACTCATTCCTAAAAGATTCTTCAGGTTTTTGGTAGCACATACGGAAGTAGATCCGGCATATCTTGCAATTATAATTGCCTGTAAAAATGTAACTAACATATGATATGTAACAAAGATATAAGGAAAAGAGTATTACCTGTTCGGACCACCAACCAATATCCAACGGATGGAACTCTGTGAAACCTGGTGGAAACTTTTTTAATTTTGCAGGACCTAGTGGATTAGGTATATTAAAATCCGGCTGCTCAGATAATTTCCACTTTTTCTGTAACAATAAATTTGGTAATCCCCATAGAGATATAGAACCATCTGTGTGCAAGCATGTTAAGAATTGGCTATTTGGGGAAATTGTTATTTTGAATATGATTGACTCGTGTTGTAGACTTAATGATGGAATAATGTTCCATATGGAGAATCTTGACTTATTCGTTGATTCATTGTCAAAAGCAAATGACAATTTACAGAAGGGATAATCGTTTAAGGGCCTCCAGGATGTTAAGCCACTCTCCGAAGCAGTTGACTGTAATACAGTACACGATATCAAACATTATTCTTTTTAATTTGTGATCCGTACAATTAATAACTTAATTACCGTTACTTTTTGAGTTATCGTGTTCCCAGCAACATAGAACAGACAATGTTTTGGATCATAAACCACTGCGTTAACACCATTCTTATAAAAATTACCAAAAGAAAATTCATAATTTGCTTCGTATCCATTATTCAATGAGACATAATAAGACTTGAGTAGGCCACTGTAGGTGATTAACAAGAATTCATAGGACCATTTCTCAAATGTTGCTTTTGGTTTAAGAAATATCATAGAAACTATCGCATCTCCAGCTTCTAGGATCTGAGGATTTTGAGAAACAGTTTTTGGGCTTATAGTATAGATATTATTTCCCAAAGCATTGTAAAAGGAGGTGTAACCATTACTAGATGCTAATACTAAAAGTGTTCCATCTGGACTCCAGGATAATTTACGCCAATGTGGGAAAGCATCCTTTGAAACTACAAAAAATATTATAAGTCATTATTGTATTATATATTATTTTATGTACGCTTGTTACTCACTAGAAGCTTTTCCAACCACCGATGAGTACTCATCCTTTGCTTTCCGAATTTCTATGACATTTTCTTGCAAAACTGCAAGTAATCTGCCAGAATCGCCAATTGCAAATTTCCATGGTAAAGTGAGATTGTTTTGTTGCGATATGCTTTCTGGCAAGCTATATCTGTTATTTAAATATCTTAGTGCATTTTTAATTGTTCCTGTTGTCGGTAATATGACAGTATCGTTTTTGCACTTCTGAAATTAGCAATATTGTATATAAAAATGTCACAACACAGTTGTATAAAAAGAGACATGATAGATCCATTTTTTCTATAACAAAATAATGAAAACTTACAATTAATTCCGGTTCCTGTTTTCGAACAAAGTACTCTAGCAATTCGTAAAGTATCGGCTCATTCTCGTTTGATTCCTCGTTGTAATTAACCATTTTGAAATCAGAAACATAACCTAGCTGAGAGGTGAAAAGAGCCAGGGAATAAAGTCAGTTAGAGTTAGAGCTTAACGAATCAGCAGGCAAACGTCATGACTGTTTTTCTTCGTGTTCCACTGAATATATGAGGGTTCAAGTATAATTGACTTGGTTGTTCTCATATAGATAAGCTTAAAATAGTAATTGTCCGGTGATTATAGCCATTCCGGTGAAAATAATTTCGAAAAACAGAATCATATTGACGAGATATCGTCGCAGCGATGTAAGCTGCATACAGCACCGCACATGCATCACGGGCATCCATAGGGTTAGTGCACGCATGTGAATTTCAAAATACAAAACTGGTCCGAGCTTGCGATTGTCAACAGGGTAGCGTGAATTTTTTATTTACAATATTCTGAACCTTTAAATATTCTGGAAAATGTCAGACGGGGAGGATGATTTTATGTGTGAAGAAGAAGAAGATTATGGTCTTGTGAGTATTCGTTTGTCTACAGTAGAAACGCTGTTAAATTTGCAAACGTTCCGGTCGAGTTATAGGTTAGATTTCTCGTTTTGACATGTATGAAGTTTTAAAATAGTTTTGAGACGATTTTCCGATCGCGGAACAATTAAGGATTATATTCATGGCAAGTCCTTTCCGAAGAAATAGTGATACAATGCAATTAAATAGCGTTCGATTTCCATCTAGGTTATATTGATAACTGTGAATATTAGTTCTCAGTTTTCTCTTGATACATTGCTATACTAGGATATTTTAAGCTTGAAACAATGCGACACGATGACTTTTTAATAACAATTTTAGGAATATTCTGAAGATTCAAATTCAGAACCAGATGTCGACTTAGAAAATCAATATTATAATAGCAAAGCGTTGAAGGAAGATGATCCGAAGGGAGCATTGCAAAGTTTTCAAAAGGTTTTGGACCTCGAAGGTGGTGAGAAGGGAGAATGGGGTTTCAAGGCTTTAAAACAGATGATAAAAATAAATTTTAAATTGGTAGGTTAGTCAAATTAGTACTATGTAGGAATATATCCATTTATTATAACATTTCATTTTTATAGGCTAATTACAAGGAAATGATGGCTAGGTACAAACAGTTATTAACATACATTAAAAGTGCAGTTACAAGAAACCATTCAGAAAAGTCTATAAACTCCATATTGGATTATATTAGCACCTCGAAGAATGTGAGTAGGTCGAGATAGAGAATGCAGAGATCTTTTGAAGTAATTATCTATTTTTACCGAATAATTCTAGATGGAACTATTACAAGATTTCTATGAAACTACCTTAGATGCATTGAAAGATGCCAAAAATGATAGGTTATGGTTTAAAACTAATACAAAGCTGGGAAAACTGTATTTTGATCGATCAGATTTTAATAAGTTAGCTAAAATATTGAAACAGCTTCACCAGAGTTGTCAGGTTGGTTGCACTCGATTCTTGTCTGCGGCAAAGTAAGACAGGATTAGATGATGCTTGTTTTTTGTTAGACCGACGATGGAGAGGATGATCTGAAGAAGGGAACACAGTTGTTAGAGATCTATGCTCTAGAGATACAAATGTATACAGCACAAAAGAACAATAAGAAGCTAAAGACATTGTACGAACAGAGCTTGCACATTAAGAGCGCGATACCGCATCCACTAATAATGGGAGTGATTAGAGGTATAGTGATAAAAAATTAAACCTTAAGTGGCCTATTTGAACAGTATCTCTAAACCATCTAGACATTAAGTACATTAACATTTTGCCTACCAGAAGCTTAATTGATTTCCGATATTGCTGTTGCAAGAAATTGATTTAATCGTGAGTTATTTATTTATAAAAGACCGACAAGTCATCGCCGGTAGGTAAAGCGTTAACTTTGAAAGTCCATTCAAGGTGTAACGATTACAAAATTGGGCAGAGATAAAATTGCATTTCGTGTGTTTTCAAAGAATGCGGTGGGAAGATGCATTTGAGGGAAGGTGAATTTGAAAGAGCACACACGGATTTCTTCGAAGCCTTTAAGAATTACGACGAGTCCGGTTCACCGAGACGTACAACTTGTCTAAAGTATCTAGTTTTAGCGAATATGTAAGTAGTTGCGATATGAGCAGAGTAATCCGAGTACCTTATAACACGATTATCGTCCGATTGTCATCGGATCATTGTGCTCGAAAATAGGCTGATGAAGTCTGGGATCAATCCGTTCGACTCCCAAGAGGCGAAGCCATACAAAAACGATCCAGAGATCTTGGCGATGACGAACTTAGTGGTCAGTTATCAGAATAACGATATCAACCAGTTCGAACTAATTCTAAAGCAGAATAGAAATAACATAATGGACGATCCTTTTATAAGAGAGCACATCGAGGACCTGCTACGCAATATACGCACTCAGGTACGTTTACCAAATGCGCACGAACGTCTCAGCAGCTCGAGTCTAATCCACTTGATATCGTTTCAGGTTCTGATTAAACTAATTAAACCTTACACCACAATTTATATTCCTTTTATAAGCAAAGAATTGAACATAGATGTGTCAGAGGTTGAGAGCCTTTTAGTCTGTTGTATTCTGGACAATACGATTCGCGGTCGCATCGATCAGGTAACAACATTGTTAAATACGCATTGACGGTCTGTCTCTGAAACCAACGACGTTATCAACAGGTGAACCAGGTCCTCGAACTGGATAAGAAATCGGTTTGCGCTGCGCGTTACAATGCGCTTGATAAATGGACGAGTCAGTTGCATTCGTTGCACTTAGCAATTGTGAACAAAATGGCATAATGAAGCGTTGGCGCGCGTGGTCCTTGACAAAAAAAGCAAAACTCGAGATCTAGACATTACACTGTATAGAATATCATGAATGCCTGTCTCCAACCATATGAAGAAATAAAATTTATTGTGATATATTAAGGTCGCTAGATTTTAATACGATCCACTTCTACTTTTCATCGAATTGTTTTATTGTTCGTCTGCTACTTATATTTCCAAGCATCATCTCCTATATATGCCATATTATGTCATATGTTATATTTCCAATATAACTATATATAACTATATATGTACTATGTATATATATAGTACAGTATAGTATATGTATATATACTATATATAACTATATATATACTATGTATAACTATATATATACTATATATAACTATATATAACTATATATAACTATATATGTGGCTCAGTCTCTTTTAACAAAAGATTCTAAAATTATGCATAGAATTGTTTAGAAGGACGAGAGAGAGAGAGAGAGAGAGAGAGAAGATGGTTTCCTAATCGCTCGAAACGAATTCTCCGTTTCCCGACAACGTCGCGAACTCTAAGCCGGGATCCGCGTCAAAACGAACTGTCGCAAGGCGCGGTAAACTCGAATCTGAAACTCCGGCGCGTTCAATTAACAAAGCTCCATTCATCCGGCCTGATTTCCACAGAACTTCGACACAGAAATAGCCCTCGCGTGCTCGAACGGAAGGGATGACGAATGTGTGTTGTCTCGGCGGAGCGGTCGGGGGCTGGTTTTAGCTCCGTTTCAAGCATTGTTATTCAGTCTACGTTCGCGCCTATGTAAATGCTGGTTAACCCCAGAACCCGGCTGGGCGGCGGGGTCCCTAGGCTCGTCCTACATCCTCGCCGCACTGGGACGGTATAATCCTCTCGTCCTCGAACCGGTTCATCCTCATCCTCGCCACGTTTAAGGTGGCAGCTTGCGAAGCTGCCGGAAAATCAATTTCGTAAAACTGACTCTCTCGACGTTCTCCTTCCTCTCGATTCGAAAGAGTACACCGGAAGATAAAACTTTGATAAAATGGAGCCGGAATAGAAAGTAAGATGGCGCGAACTTTCTCGGTTGTTTCGTGATACGTAGCCGGATCGAGATAGCGAAAGCTGTAGCGACGACGATTGCGAAAAATTGGACGCGCAGAAATTTCATTCCAAGTTTTATCAACACTTTGTAACGTGTTGTTCGGGGTTACAGCGGAGAGACACAGGGTGAAACTCAACTGGACTTTATTCAGAGAGGTACATGAATGACGCGCGGTGCGGATAGTTACAAGAAGATTATATTATTTTTTATATTATTACAAGAAGATTACATTATTATATTTATATTATTTCTCCCAAAAAGGGGAGACGCCTTTTTGGGAGACTTGCTGTCTTCTTTTACCCCCGTTCAGTTTGGCGGGGGAGACAGCCATTCGGCCGGGTAGCGGTACGGCGACTTTCTCCGCGGCTAGGCCTGCGGTACATGTGGCAGTGATAAAAAATAAAGAAACAAAGGAATTTCCGGTGCTTGCTTTCCGTGCTACGTTTTCTCTCTGCCGAACCCTTGACATCTGCAAGCGGACAGTTTTATGGTTATTGCGGTCGCCGACCGTGTGCCGCTACAACTTCTTGGACGAGCGTCGTCGGCGTGTTAAAGGACACCGAAGTCCTCGATACGCGATTTAGTTTCTCGAAGAAAATATTTTTCGTGCTCTAAGAAGTCTTCGTCCTCGCGGGAGATTACCATCACGCGGTGGCAGCTGGCGAGATAAAAAAATCGAGGGTTTCCGGTGGAATCGAGCGGAGCAGGACGATAAGGAATTGCCGTTGAAGGCGTAGTCGCGAAATTGTAGGGGCTCTTTGCCGGGTTTCCGTGTATTTTGACATTAAGGCTCCGCTCGTCGCGGTTTCGACTGCTGGCGGCGTGATTAGCGGGCACGCGGCGGGTACACGCGTGGAACGACATAGACGATAACGACTATGACGACGGCGCAACCCCAGCGTTAATTGGCTGCGCTTGCAATCAAAGCAGAGCTCGAAATACCTGCCGGTATTCACGCGGTTTCCTCGTAGTCTTTGGAATGAAATTTTCCTCGAAATTTCATGGTTGCGGCTGGATGCGAGAACAGAGAGCCTCCGGGAAGCTTTTGCATGGTAAATAAAGCATCTCGATCGCGGGCGTCGTATTCTTGGGGAATCGAGGGTAGCGTGGAAGGCCGAATCCCGAATTCAACGAATTGTTAATACCGCGGTGCTTCTTGCCGGGAAGACCAACTATTCGCCTTGGAATCTGATAAGGATGAGAATACCATTGGGGAGAGGGGGATTATCAAAGCTATCGGTCTCCGCGGAGTTGGGAACGACCGAATGACGGCTCGTTTCAGCGAAATACCGGGCCGAGTCAACGCGAAAATCAAAGATCCGGCTAAACATTAATGAAACCGCGCGTCGCGCCGCTCGGCCGTGTCTCTTTTCCTCTGTCCTCGGCTTTTTCCTCTCTAATCCCGGCGTCACGTCCGGTGCAACTGCAGGTGCATGTTACAAGGCGCACGGGGACCGTGGCTCGCCGTGGAGTCGCCAGTGGATTCTATCCTTTGAGAAGAGTTAATTTCAACGAAAACTCCATTTTCAGTGTCGCTCATATTTTCGACTGCTTTTCGGGACTCCGCACTGAAAAATACAGAATCCTTCAATTTCTGCCACCACCTGGAAATTCGGCGGACTTCGGAGTTTCAAGAAGCGTCCAGTTACGAGCTCCATCGAGACTGATACCGTTAATTAATCGCCGACGGAACGAGGAGAGGAATAGGCGCCATTATCGAGGTAGTCTTCGACAAGATCTACCATTTTTCTTTAACCCTTAGAGCTCTATGGACGCATATGTGCGTTTGGCGAAAGTCATCCGTGTAGCCTAAGGCCGCATTTACGTGTTTTCTCTAAGTCATCGGCCTGGACTAAGGGTGCACATATGCGTTTGTCGATTTTTTCAATCAATATGCAGATATTTTCGTGTAAAATTAATACAGGGTCACTCGTTAGTAATTTGCCTTCCTTAGGTAGCTGTTGGGCAATATTAGGGTCATAAAAATCCCCGGGAATTTCCGAAACGGAAATCCCATTTTATGTCCCACTCTCTAAACAATTGGAGTTCAAAATAATTACCTGCACTGTCACCTTTTCGCGACTCAAAGCACTCAAAACGACTCAGTCAGCAGTATCGTCTTGCGAATGTAAGAACCTCACGGTCCCGCTCGCGTCAACAACGATAGTACGGAATATAACTTGTTCGATTATATTTTTTTATTCGTGACACCCTACAAACTGTCAAATCTTGAGGAATATTTCACAAGGGACGACAGTGAAATAGAATATAGTGAATCGCTATCATCGGACATTGAATCAGAAGATTAATTATTTAACCTTCTGCAAAAGAATCACTATAATTTATTACTGTTTGCGCCTTGAATAGTCACTTCGGTGTGGCAAAAAAGTATTCCGCCCCCAGCGATGGTCAGCGATAGCCGCGCTCCGTCCCTACGAACCGTTTCGGCCAGGAGTATTCAGAGCTCAAAAGGTTAAGAATCCTACGGTCCTGCCATGCTTCTGCCAGAAAGTGTCGTATGGACTTTGTGATTCTTTCGCGAATTCGATTGTACTTTAGAACATTGGTCGTCTACCGTTGGAACTAATAGCAAGGGCTCGAGTTCCTGACCGATCCAGGGACCGTTTCACTTCATTCCGATCCTGGAAGCTTCGCCGATTCGACCTCGGTGCTCCGTGGAGCGGTCAGCTTTAACCTTTTAGGTACGGCTGAATTCTGCGCGAGGCTATTTCTCTGGACGGCAGAGTCTGATATGGTACTGTACAGAGTGTCTGTATATTGTCAAGACTGTTGTAAATTGATGTGAAGACAAAAGAAGTGTGAAACAATGCATATGAAGACGATTATTTAATTCAAACGATGACCGAGTGAGCTACTGGAGTAAGCCACTATAGTGGTGCGTCGTTTAGAGAGATGACATCCGCGGAAGCCACCATAGTGGTGTGTCGTTCGGAGAGATGATATCCGCGAAAGCCACTATAGTGACGCGTCGTGCCTAAAAGGTTAAATAAAACTTCGTTGATATATTGTTACGGCGACTTGTCCAAATCAAGTCGCTGTAATGTGAGACTGCTCTGTTGTGAACAACTTTAAAAATAATAGAAGATAGGGGTTGCCACGGAAGAGTTTTACCAACGGACAATCGACGAGTCGAGATCGGACTGTCGAACGAGCAACATTCAAATTGAAAGATCTGAAATATAATTGTATCGAATTGTGTCGAGTTGTGCGAAGATGACATCCGCGGAAGCCACTATAGTCGCGCGTCGTGCCTAAAACGTTAAAATTAAAGCCGATCCAAGCATCGTTTACCCGGCTCGAGTTCTTCGGGTCGAACCGTGGCACCGAGGAAGCGTGGCCCGGTGAACCATAAAACACCTGTCGCCCGGAACGTCTCGCTGACGAACTTCGACGAGGCAAAACCTCCGCGGAACACGTTGAAACAACGATCCCCGGATGACAGTGCCGGAAAAGGTGTAGCCCGAAGAACGGCCCCGACACCTTCCGAGGATCGAGGACTCTGCTCCAGGAAATTTTTTCACCCGAAGGAAACAAACCGCGACAAGAACTCTCGGCCGCCGCGCCGCGACAACTCGCCCGAGGGCCATATATCAAACGGGAACAAGGAATATAAGGTTTTTCGGCGCGGCGGCGGCGGCGTCACGACGCTAGGCGCCGGCCGAGCGTATAATCTCTCAAGTATTGTTCGCGTCTCTCGTCGATTTATCCCGGCGCTAAGGCGGGCAAAAGGTGGGAAAAGACGGCCGGGCCGACGATTGCTCCGAAACGGAAACAGCGCAGCGTACCGGGGAAACACATCTGCCAGTTTTTAGCGGCGTCACCATATATCATAAGTGCGAGTGAAACGTTCGGGGCAGGACCACCGGCTGGACCATCCATCTTGCGCGGCTTAACTCGTGCGGATGCGATGCCGTACGCTCGTGCGAACGCCGCTTCGTCGGTGTGCCGGGGCACACACCTTCCTTCCTCGAACCCGGTTCCTCCCGGCCCTGTTTCCGGGTTCAGGCCTCGGAGAGGA